AGTGAGACTCTGTCTCAAAAAAAAAAAAAGGGTTCTGGGTTGTCCTACGATGGAATATTTGCAAAATGCTAGAGGGACCATGAAATTGGGAAATGAGGACTTCACAGAAAATCCTAAGAATTTACCACTCTGCAGATATGAGTAGCTTGAGAAATTATTTTTAAAATTATAATTGCGGAGTGGAAAGATTAGGGCAAAGCACCTGGAATAAAGCTGATGTGATGCTTTATGAAATAGTCATGTAAATATATAGTAAATCCTGCTGATATTAGTATGGTAGTATGTGAACAGAGCAGTGAAGTTAGTTAACTCCCTGGTCTCCTGAGTTGTCTGCTTAATTAATTAAAGCTCTGTTCTATTTTTGTAGCATCTGCAAGAGATAAATAAATTAATCCTAACTCATTGTAGCAGTTATATTGCTGTTTTATGGTATTCTTTTTCTTTTGGATAGTATGCTACTGATGCCACTGATGCAGATCTCATTCCCATTGCCTATTGACTGTCCTTTTTTCTCTCTATATGGAAAATTACTAATACATTTAATAGCAGATGTAAACATCAACAAACGTATAATTTAGGCAAATTTGGGTCAGCAGTTTTCTGAAATTCAGCTGCATATTTTTACTGTAAGTGCCAATCTGGTCATTTAAAATTGGCATTGAAGAAAAGTCATGATTGACTGACCACTGCTTAGTAATATTTTCATTTGCTTAGAACATGAGTGCTCACCTCTTCCACACCCAGTACATATAAAATTGCACCTCAAGACTGTCTTGAATTATCCTGTTCCCAGTGCAATTAATAGTGATATAAGCAACAGGCACAGTGGGGCTAAACTTATTAGACCTGGTAAAAAGATCTCATGCCATGATTGAGCCTGAATATCAGATTTCATGTAACAGTTACTGGGGCATAATAGATTTGGGAACTCAGAGAGTAAATTTAATTAAATCTTTTAAAATATTAACATAAAGGAACATGTACATTAAATTAACGGCATGAATTGAGAGAGAAAGGGAAGACACTAAAAATTGTTTGATTTTGTTTTTGTTTTTTTTTTTCCTGAGACAGAGTTTCGATTTGTTGCCCAGGCTAGAGTGCAGTGGTGTCATCACAGCTCACTGCAAACCTCAAACTCCTGGGCTCAATCAATTCTCCTGCCTCAGCCCCCTGAGTAGCTGGGACTACAGGCGTGTGCCACTATGCTGCCTGGCTAATTTTTTCTATTTCTTGTAGATATGAGGTCTCGCTCTTACTCAGGCTGGTCTCGAACTCCTGGCCTCAAGCAATCCTCTTGCCTTGGCCTCCTGGAGTGCTAGGATTACAGGCGTGAGCCACCATGCCCTGCCTGTTCAGATTCTTGATGGAATAGTTTGACCTGAGTAACTCTATACCTTAATTTTGGTCTGGCCTCACATGCTTTATGTTATATTTTATTATTGTTATATTGCTGTTAATTAAGTTATTATTATCATTATTGCAGTTCTTTATTCTTTTATTGGATTTAATTTCCCTTTACAAAATATGCATGGACCAAAAATGTGACTTTGGGAGAGTATTGCTGAGTTGTTGCTGATGTCAGTTTCATACTGTGATATTTTTTCTCTATTTACCAAGAGATCAGTATTTCAATATAACGATGTGCATGTTTTCCCCCCTTCTCCCGCTGCATGCAGGGATTCGGGTTCGTAACTTTCGAGAATAGTGCTGATGCAGACAGGGCCAGGGAGAAATTACACGGCACCGTGGTAGAGGGCCGTAAAATCGAGGTGCATGTCTTCAATAATTCAATTTCTGGTTTATATTTTTATTTCTCTTTTTTTGTATTGCCTCACTTATTTCACATTTGGAACCTTGTCTTGTTTGTGCGCGTGCACATGTATGTGTGTTTGTATCTCTGTGTTCTTCACCTTCTTGCACTAAAACGTATAAAAGTAACACTTCTATCTGCTTCCTCTTCCCCCTTTTTTTTTTTGTTGTTTGGGGGTTTTAATTTTGATTTTTTTTGTGTGCATATGTATGTTTTTCATTTACATTTTTTCTCCAAAATGTTCATCCTTCTGCTCTCTCGATTTTTTTTTCCTTTGTTTCAGTTTGCGAGACTCTGAATTCCTGTGATCAGGCCTAAGCAAAACTAACTTTAAAAATGTCTAAAAATTATCCAGTTTATAATGTTGTGTTCTGTAATGAATCAAGGGGCCAGCCAATATCCTTTTTCTCTTAGGAGGCCAGTTAGCCTCTATGTGCACGTGATAAGCACGGAACAGAAGATTATAGAGGTTGTGGGGAGGGAGGAAAGAATCCAAAACTTGCATAGTTTTTAAATATATCTAATACCAAGAATTTTGACAATTAATTCTTAAATTTTTACAGATAAAATCCTCAAATAGAGGATTTGATGGCTGGCTGGCAAATGTACTGTGATTTTGATTAAATCAGCCACCTGGTATTCACCGGCCCTTTTTGATAACGCACTGAGGGTTAACTGGCTCCTTTCCCCTTTCCCAATTTTTAAAAGTATTAAATATAAAAGCCACCATTTTGAGTAAGATGTCTGCATATTTTGCTTTTTTCCCCTCCTTTCCAATGGTTTAGCATTTAGGGCCCTTCACTTGACTCACTCTTTCCATGGTAACTATACACAATGCTGGCGATGGTGCCCGTTGGCGGTAAGTGAAACAAAAGCACTAGAGAAGAAGCTTTTAAAAATGTAATTACAAAACAATTAAATAAGAAAGAAAAAGTCCATCTGCCATCTCACATTAACACTACAAAATGTGATTTGACTTGTTCCTCTTCCTTTTCCTTTCTCCCTTTTATTTTCAATGCTGTTGAGTAATGCCGCCTGGACTTTGGATGTACATATTGTTTTGTAGCAGTCTGAGCTGTTTGATTACTGACTTCATGGTGATTTTTTTCCCCTTGCACATCTTACTCAGAGTTACTCAACTCCAGTTTGGCTGGTTTTATTAATGCACTTCCTGCCCCTACTTTGTTTCCTCCTTTTCCTCTTTCCCAAACCTCTGTTGGTAGCTCTGTTTTTTCTTTGCCCTTGCCGCCTCTTTCCTGCCTGTTACACCCTTCCTGACTTGCTCTTTTCTTTTTCCCTACCTTACTGCCCTCTTTACCCAAATCCCTGCTCCTGTCCTTTTCCCTGTTCTTCCTTCCCCATCCCTTCAGTTCCATGCAGCTGTTGGTCTCTTGCTGACTGGTGGTTTCTGATTGGTTCTGGCCATTTTTCCTTTTAAGTGCTTGGTTGCATTCTGCTCCAGCAGCTGGTTTTAGCTCTTGCTTCATTCTAATCCTTATCTGTGAGAACCCGGCTCTTCACTTTTTCCCTTCTTTCCAAAACTGATTGTTTTTTCTTTCTTTTATTTGTGTGTGTGTGTGTTTTTTAACTGCATGCTCTGAGTCTCATCGTTGTATACCCATTCTTTCTTTTTAAATGTGAAATGTTTATATTATTTGGTGGGTCAAACTAGAGTAAATGGAGTTTCAAGCTCTTTCCTCACCTAGAGGATTATCCCTATACATACCTTAAAAGACAGAAAGAAGTTTTTTAAGTCCCAGTGCTACCTAAGATTGGTTTTTTTATAACACAAATTTGTCACTACACAACTTTAGCACAATGTAAATTCGAAAAGTAAGACATTTATATTTTATAATTCTTTTTAAAATTGGCATATTTTATGACCAGACGACATAGTATATAATCAAGTTCTGTGGTGAGGCTTTACCCTCCTCGTAAGAGCTGCAGTATCTTGGCTTCTAAGCTCCATCTTTAGCAGCGCCATCTGTGTAAAACCTCCTACCCTAGCCCTGAGAATGCTTAAATTATGCAGTTCTGTAATGAGGGTGGAGAGTACCATAAAACAAAATAAACACTTTTATTTTCTCAATTCTTGTAAGTACCTATTTTAAAAGCTTTCTGAAAACTTTATTTCTAAATATACCAGGTCGCCTAGAAAATTCAGAATGGTCCTGAAGACTGTCAACATGGGAATCTTAAGTTCCTATATTTGTTACTCACCTTAGCCAGTAATATCTTAGACAGACATATCAAAAATGCTGAACATGAGGACAGATGAAGTTAATAGACTTATTTTATCACTTTCCCATAAATCTGTTTCATGACCTATGTGGTAACCCTCTGTTTTATTAACGAACTTCAAAATTTATTCGCTAATATAGTTGTTTCCTATTTACTTTTT